ACACACTCTAACACACACACCCTAACATCCACACACACTAACACACACACACTCTAACACACACACACACTAACACACACACTAACACACACACACACTAACACACACACTCTAACACACACACACACTAACACACACACTAACACACACACACACACTAACACACACATACACACTCTAACACACTAACACACACACACTAACACACACACTAACACACACACACACTAACACACACACACACACTCTAACACACACACACACACACTCTAACACACACACTCTAACACACACACGTTTTTTTTAAATTTCATCCCCCAGCTTCCCTACCTTTGGGAGTGCTGAGGGGATTCCCTGGGGTCCAGTGGTGTCACCCGGCGGCCAGTCCTGCGGGCGGGCTGGCGGGTGCGCGAGGGAGCACTCTCCCTTGAGTGCTTCCTGTTCAGCTCCCTCGCGCGCCGCTTACTGATGCCGGAGCCGGAATATGACGTCATCTTCCGGCTCCGGCATCAGTGCGGTGCACAAGGGAGCTGAAGAGGAAGCACTCAGGGGAGAGTGCTCCCTCGCGCGCCCGCCGGGTGACACCAGGGCCAGCCTCGGGGGGCCCTGAGGTGACCGGCTGCTGGGCCCCCCAGGAGAAGAGGCTGGCCACAGTGGGTACATACCTGGACACTAACACACACACACACTAACACACACACTAACACACTCTAACACTAACACACACACTCTAACACTAACACACAGTCTAACACTAACACACAGTCTAACACACACACACACACTCTAACACACACACACACACTAACACACACACACATTAACACACACACACACATTAACACACTAATACACACACTCTAACACACACACACTAACACACACATACACATACACACTCTAACACTAACACACTAACACACACACTGTAACATACACACACACACACTAACACACACACTTTAACACACACACACTCTAACACTAACACACACACACTCTAACACACACACACTCTAACACACACACACACTCTAACATCCAAACACACCAACACACACACTAACACACACACACACTAACACACTCTAACACACACACACTCTAACACACACACACACTAACACACACACGCACACACATACTAACTAACACACACACTCTAACGCACACACACACTAACACACACACACACTCTAGCACACACTAACACACACACACACACTCTAACACACACACACACTCTAACACACACACACGTTTTTTTTTTTTTTTAATTTCAGCCCCCAGCTTCCCTACCTTTGGGAGTGCTGAGGGGATTCCTTGGGGTCCAGTGGTGTCACCCGGCGGCCGGTCCTGCGGGCGGGCTGGCGGGTGCGCGAGGGAGCACTCTCCCTTGAGTGCTTCCTGTTCAGCTCCCTCGCGCGCCGCTTACTGATGCCGGAGCCGGAATATGACGTCATGGTTGTCATGCCCTGATGGTGGCCCTGCTGGGGAGCTCTGGCTTTCATACTAGAGTTCACTAGAGTTCACTCACCACTAGGACCACCAGGGATAGCAGCAAAGCCCCCCTCTCATGCAAAATGTAAGAAGGGATGGGGGATACTACGCTTTCTAAGTAAAATAAAAAATATATATATTTACATTAATCTATTTCCCCCCTCACACAATACCTCCAGAAATATTCACACACACAGCACCCTCACACACACACAAACACACACAATGCACCCTCACACACAGCACCCCCCACACACAACACCCTCACATACACATAGAGCACCCTCTCTCACACACACAGCACCCTCTCTTGCACACACACTGCACCCCTCACATACACACATAGCATCCCTCACAAACTGCACCCCTCACATACACACACACACAGCACCCCTCACATACACACACACAGCAACCTCATACACTGCACCCATCACATACACACAACAGCATCCTCACACACTGCACGCCTCACATACACACAGCACTCCTCACACACTGCACCCCTAACATACACACACAGCACCCTTACCAGGGCTCGAGTCCTGCAGAAATGCGTGGGAACGGCGTTCCTACACTTTTTCCACAGCAGGGACTCCGTTCCTGTTAGTAGTCCTGCAGGCTCAGGGCCGGGGCGCCTCCATAAGGCGGAACAAGTGGAGTGGGCGCAAGATCAAAGTGATCGGCAGGAGGTAGGCACATAGCGCTCCCCCCTCCCAGTCACTCTGTGTAGTGTGGCCGAGTGGAGCAGTGCGCACCATGGTCCTGGAACATCAGTTTCCTGTACCCAGCCGGACTGAAAGGAAGTGGTTACTGAGAGAGCTCTTCCTGTCAGTCCAGCCAGGTACAGGAAACGGAATCTCCTGTACTGTGGTTTGCTCTGCTCGGCCACACTACAAAGGGAGGTAGGGTGGTAAGGAAGAACACTATGGTACGGGGTAGGGGGGTGGTAAGGAGAACACTATGGTACTGGGTAGGGGGGTTGGTAAGGAGAACACTATGGGATGGGAGGTTGGTAAGGAGAACACTATGGGATGGGGGGGTGGTAAGGAGAACACTATGGGATGGGGTGGTGGTAAGGAGAACACTATGGTACAGGGGAGGGGGGGAAAGAACACTATGAGACAGGGGAGGGAGGTTGGTAAGGAACACTATGGGAAAGGGAGGATGTGCACCCCTCACACACACACAGCACCCCTCACATACAGCCCGCACACGCACACACAGCACCCTCACACCCACAGCACACACAGCACTCCTCACACACAGCACCCCACAAACAAACGCACTGCAACTAATATACCCACACACTCCCCTCCCACACACAGCACCACCTCACACACACGCTGCACCCCCACAACAAACTGTACCCATCATACACAATGCACCCCTACACACATTACATTTCAGACACACACTAGATCCCTTACACAACTCTGGGTCATCTACACACACACTAGCTCCCTATATACACTCTAAATCTGCTTTTTTAATTTAAATAAAAAAATATATATTTACATTAATCTATCTCCCCCCCACACACAATACCTCCAAACATATTCACACACATCACCCTCACACAGCACCCCTCACACACACAGCACCCCTTACACGCTGCACCCTCAAACTCAGCACCCTTCACACACACACAGAAACCTCACACACAGCGCCCCCTCACCCACAAACTGCACCCCTCACACACAGCCCTGCGGCATTGGTTCTCAGATTTAGAAAAATCCTGCTAGATTCATCTACGCGTTTCACCCGTTGTAACCAGGCTTTTTCAAGATGTTCAGAAAAATCCCGCCAGATTCATCTACGTGTTTCACCCGTTGTAACCGGGCTTTTTCAAGATCTTGTAAATGCCCGGTTACAACGGGCGAAACGCATACATGAATCTGGCGGAATTTTTCTGAATCTATGAGAACCATTGCGGTAGGACTGAACAGACAACATTTCTGCAACAGGACAGGTCCGGGTGCACATGACTGACTGACGGAGCATCTTACTATCTTCTACCGGCGAGTACACCACATTGTACTAATGCTTTTTTTGTGAAACTTCGAAATAAGCTTTCACCACATTTTCCTGTAAGAGTTTTTATGTAGGGGTGTATTTTGCTTGGGAAATACATTTGTTACTGTTTTACACTATGTCAGTATCCTTTTTTTGAAAGTTGGATACAATAGCCCAGCAGACTAACAAAATACAGTTAAAGAGGAGCTCCCTATTTTCCCTTTATCAGCAAAATTCCCCACACAGCGTGGAAATATCTTTAACCACTTAAGGACCAAACTTCTGGAATAAAAGGGAATCATGACATGTCACACGTCATGTGTTTTTAAGGGGTTAACTCAGACTGTTTTTTGGATATATCTCCATTCTGACACTTACTGCTTGGACATTGAATAAGTATAATCTGTTATCAGATTATAGAGTATTCTAACCTCTGTCCCTATATTTGCTAATTAGGGGATGGTCTGTTAAAGGACCACTATAATGCCAGCAAAACAAGCTTGTTTTCCTGGCACTATATTAATATAACGTCCCTCCCGCCCTCATGGCCCCCTTCCCGCCGGGCTGAAGTGGGAGGAAGGGGTTAATCCCTTACCTTTCTCCTGCACCGTGCTCCCTCGGCGCTGTGGACTCTCCTCCTCCTTCGGATGTCATCGGCTGAATGCGCATGCACGGCAAGAGCCGCGCACGCATTCAGTCAGTCCATAGGAGAGCATTCTCAATGCTTTCCTATGGACGCTGGTGTCTTCTCACTGTGAAAATCACAGTGAGAAGCGCAGAAGCGCCTCTAGGGGCTGTCAATGAGACAGCCACTAGAGGCTGGATTAACCCATATGTAAACATAGCAGTTTCTCTGAAACTGCTATGTTTACAGCAGGCAGGGTTAATCCTAGATGGACCTGGCACCCAGACCACTTCATTGAACTGAAGTGGTCTGGGTGCCTGTAGTGGTCCTTTAAGCGCTGATACTATGTTTGTGTATTGTTTGACATTTTTTGTACTTGGGAGGTATTTTAAGTATCTGGCTGCTTTACTGTAGAGAACTCATATACTCAGTTGTGTTCCTATAATCTACCACACTTTTTGCGCTCTCTTATTTGTTATTTATCACACACTAGATCCTCTTCACACATACTACATTCCTGACATACAAACTCTGAAAACCTTATGCACTGGATTCCTTGTAAGCAAACCTCTATACACACTATGTTCCCTATACATACTCTCTCACTCTCTACAGCCCCTAGCCACACATTACCCCACAAACACAACACAACTGAAACCGACCTATTTACACATCACACCACAATCGGCTCACTCTACACACTCGCAATCCCACAAGCAGGCTCCAAACACATGCACAATAGTGATGTCCCGAACGGTTCACCGAACGGTTCGCCACGGACAGCGAACATATGACCCTGTACCTCACAGTCAGCAGACACATTCCAGCCAATCAGCAGCAGACCCTCCCTCCCAGACCCTCCCACCTCCTGGACAGCATCCATTTTGAAGCTGCATTCTTAGGACAGCTCACTAAGAATGCAGCTTCAAAATGGATGCTGTCCAGGAGGTGGGAGGGTCTGGGAGGGAGGGTCTGCTGCTGATTGGCTGGAATGTGTCTGCTGACTGTGAGGTACAGGGTCAAAGTTTACTCAATGATGAGTTTGCGGCGAACCGTTCGTGGCAAACCGTTCGCGAACCGTTCGCGAACCATTCATGGCGAACCGTTCGCGAACCGTTCGGCAAACCGTTCGGGACATCACTAGCAATCATTGCTGCTCTATCTGCACCATCTGCAGACATCTTACTGGAGTAATAGACTGATGATATATTTTATATCTGGGCTTAAAATTTGAAGTGCTACATAATTAACCAGGTTTTAAAAGTTACCGCTTGCCAGTACAACCCTGGAGGCTTCATGTCACACTTACCTGGGTGAATTTCTACAAGCCATGGCAAAATTTTCAGCCTAGTTTTATATGATTTAGATTATTGCTGTGTATATTATTATTTTTATTATCATGTCTATTTTATTGTTATTCTACTTCTCACCTCTTTCCAAATTATTGTTTATTTTCCTTAAGGTTTTATTTTGTCTTTAGATTTTATTTTTATTCTCATGGTCCCTGTCTCCATCTAGTGGCCATTTCCTAAATCTAATACTTTGTTTTTCTATTTTTATTAACTGTCTCCATCTAGTGTTTATTCCAGGGTAATATTTCACTTTTTATTTTCTTAAAGGGACACTATAGTCACCAGAACAACTACAGCTTATTGCATTTGTTCTGGTGAGTAGAATAATTACCTTCAGGCTTTTTGCTGTAAACACTGTCTTTTCAGATAAAATGCAGTGTTTACATTACAGCCTAGTGATAACTTCACTGGCCACTCCTCAGATGTCTATTAGAGATCCTTCCTTGGTCATGGCTGCCTAAAATGCATCCAAACATTCAGAATCTCCTGCCTCTGCATGCAGACACTGAACTTTCCTCATAGAGATTCATTGATTCAATTAATCTCTATGAGGAGATGCTGATTGGCCAGGGCTGTGTTTGAATCATGCTGGCTCTGCCCCTGATCTGCCTCTTTGTTAGTCTCAGCCAATCCTATGGGGAAGCATTGTGATTGGATCAGGCTACCACTTCTGATGTCAGCAGACTGCTTGGTTTTTTAGAGGCAAACAGCATGCAGAGTTACAGCTTCAGGCTTGAATACAGTAAGACTTTGCTATATTTATGGAGGCATGAGGGACCCAGGGGGGCTAGATGGTGGTTTTAACACTATAGGGTCAGGAATACATGTTTGCGTTCCTGACCCTGTAGTGATCCTTTAACTAATGAGGTTTAGAATTTGGTAAGAGACGTCGGGATAAGGAGTCGAATAATATTTCCGGATTGAATGCAAGGTCGGAGCCTGTTATTGTGTGTTTGTAGCAAACAATTCATTTCCAGAAGGCATTTATGGCTGGGCATTGCCACCAGATGTGGGCGGTGGTAACGATAGCTTGATTGCATTTCCAACAGAGGTTCTCTGATGCTGGGTATAATCTGTGTAATTTCGCTGGTGTGTAATGCCTCCCAGCTGTTCTTTTATAATTACTTTTCTGTGTTGCCAAATTGAAGGAGGACTTGCAGGGGCGGACTGAGAACCCTCAGGGCCCTCGGGCAAAATAAATCAAGGGCCCCCTTACAGGCCCCACCCATACTCTGCAGCAAGCGCCACCCTTGTCCCGCCTCCATGCACCGCCTCCAGCCACACCCTACACAATCTTTAGACACAAGGAACAAAAGGGCAATAAGCCCTTCGAGGCCCCAGTAGAGACTACAATTGAGGGCTAATGGGCCATGGAGGGGGGTCTTTCTAGCGGAGGCTATCTCAGTGTCCTTTAGAGAGTGTGTTAGATAGAATCCCCTCCAAGCCCCATTAGAGACTACAATGGAGTCTAAAAGGCTTGGAAGGGGGTCTTTCTAACAGAGGCCATCTCAGCGTCCATTAGATATCCCCTGCTGGAAACAGTCGCCTCCAGGCCCCAGTAGAAACTACAATTGAGGGCTAATGGGCCATGGAGGGGATTTCTAGCAGAGGCTAGAGTCTAATGGGGCCTGGAGGGTGGTCTCTCCAGCTCTCTTCCTATTCACAATATAGCAACACAACATAGCTCGCTGATACCTAAGCCAAGTTGGCTCCTCTTACCTTAATTACTGTTGCTGGCTGGCAGTCTGTGGGCTTGCTGGCTGCAGCTGGCAGGCTGTGGGCTTGCTGGCTACTGCCGGCAGGCTGTGGGCTTGCTGGCTACTGCCGGCAGGCTGTGGGCTTGCTGACTGCGGCTGGCAGGCTGTGGCTTGCTGGCTGCGACTGGCAGGCTGTGGGCTTGCTGGCTGTAAGCCTGTGGCTTGCTGTAGGCCTGCTGGGCTGGCTACTGGCCTGTGGGCTGGCTAACTGGCTGGCTACTGGCCAGCCTGTGGGTTGGCTGGCTGGCTACTGGGGCACTTGTAGATTATTTAAAGAAATAATCCATGCACAATAACCACTACTGCTCCAGAGTAAGTAGTCAAACCGTTTAAGAACAGTTTGACAACTTACCTGGGGTCTGCTGGGATATGAGGCTGTAGTAGGGAATAGGAGCAGTGGTGCAATGTGTGTGAAAGGTTCAGTGTGTGTGTGGGGGTGTAGTGTGTGAATGTGTAGGGTGTGTGGGCAGTGTATGTGTGTGGCAATGTTAGTATGGGGGGCTGTGTATGGGGGTCTGTGTGTATATGGGTGGGCAGTGTATGTGTGTGTGTGAGGCAATGTGTGTAAATGTGTATGGTGTGTATGGGGGCAGTGTGTGAATGTGTATGGTGTGTGTGTGGGGGCAGTGTGTTTATGGGGCTAGAGTTCACTCTCACCACTGCGACCACCAGGAATCCATGGGGGTTACAGTGTTGAGAGTGAACTCTAGCCCGTAACTCCAGGGCTAGAGTTGACTCTCGCAAGAGCAGTAACGTTGCCATGGTAACCGCGGCAACGCTCTGTGCTCGCGCAAGAAGGACCCAGAGGAGCTGCAGGGTGAGCTCCCAGGTCCTCTCTTCCTCCCCTGCCCGCACGGTGCCTGCGGACAGGGGAGGGGGGGCATTCTTCCCTCTCTTTCTCCTCCCTCCCCCAACTCTCTATTCCCCCTCTTTCTCCCCGTGTCTCATTCTTCCCTCTCTGTCTCTTTCTCCCCCTCCCCATCTCTCTATTCCCCCTCTTTCTCCCCGTGTCTCATTCTTCCCTCTCTGTCTCCCCCCTCCCCATCTCTCTATTCCCCTGTGTCTCATTCTTCCCTCTCTGTCTCTTTCTCCCCCTCCCCATCTCTCTATTCCCCCTCTTTCTCCCCGTGTCTCATTCTTCCCTCTCTGTCTCCCCTGTGTCTCATTCTTCCCTCTCTTTCTCCCCATCTCTTTATTGCCCCCCCTCCCCATCTCTGTTCCCCCCTCTCCATCTCTCTGTTCCCCCCTCTTTCCCCCCTCTCCATCTCTCCCCCTCTTTCTCCCCCTCCCCATCTCTCCCCCCCCCTCTCCATCTCTCTGTTCCCCCCTCTTTCTCCCTCCCCATCTCCCCCCCTCTCCATCTCTGTTTCCCCTCTTTCCCCCCCTCCCCATTTCCCCTCTCCTGTTTCCCCCTCTTTCTCCCCCATCTCTCCTCCATCTTTCTCCCTCTTCCATCTCTCCCTTCTCCCCCTCCCCATCTCCCCCCCTCTTCCATCTCTCCCCTCTCCATCTCTCTGTTCCCCCCTCTTTCTCCCCCCCTCCCCATCTCTCCCTCTCATCTCTTGTTCCCCCCTCTTTCTCCCCCCCTCCCCATCTCTCCCCCTCTCCCATCTGTTCCCCCCTCTCTCTCCCTCCCCATCTCTATTCCCCCTTTACCTTAAGTCTGAGGGGGGCCGGCCGTTTGATGCTGGAGCCGCCGGACCGGGTAGCAGCCTCGCCGGTCCGGCGGCATTCCTCTGACTAACACAGGAGGAGGAGGAGGAGCATGTGTCTATCATGCTCCCTGCGGTTCCCACAATTCCCAGCACAGGATGTGGGAACCGCAAAGGAGCATGACAGACACATGCTCCTCCTCCAGTGTTAGTGAGAGGAATGCCGCCGGACCGGCGAGGCTGCTACCCCGTCCGGCGGCTGCAGCATGAAATCGGCCGGCCCCCTCACAGTGTGCCACCGGACCGGCCACCCGGTGGCACCTGCAGTCCCCCCCAATCCAGCCCTGCCGCCGGGCCCCCTGAAGGCGGCCCTGGCGGCGGGCCCCCCTCCCGGCCGGGCCCTCGGACCGTGTCCGAAGTGCCCGACCGGTCAGTCCGCCCCTGAGGACTTGTATGAATGTAAAATGTATTTTATGTAATGTGAGGTATTTCGAGGTATGATATTCTTTGTATGCCTCACCTGGTTCACCAGGTTGGTACAGTGAATTTTGAGTGAGTGGGTAAAGCGGAGATGGGTAGGGTGATACATTATTATTATTATGATATTTATAGAGCGCCGTCAAATTCTGCAGCGCTTTACAATGGGTGGACGAACAGACATGTAGTTGTAACCAGACAAGTTGGACACACAGGAACAGAGAGGTTGAGGGCCCTGCTCAATAAGCTTACATGCTAGAGGGAGTGAGGTAAAATTACACAAAAGGTAAGGATAGCATTAGACTAGTGACAGTTGCAGAAGAGGAATCAGTCAGGAGCTATTAACAGTTTAATTGATACGCTTTTATGAAGAAGTGGGTTTTTAACGATTTTTAAAAGAGTGGAGACTGGGTGAGCATCTAACGGAGGAGGGAAGCAAGTTCCACAGGAACGGTGCAGCCCTCAAGAAATCTTGAAGGCGAGCATCAGAGGTGGGAGCATGGACAGAAGATAGACGTGAGTCTTCAGCAGATCGTATGGGGCCTAGACGGGACATACTTGTGTATAAGGGAGGGTAGATAGGTAGGAGCAGCATTATGTAGAGATTTGAAAGCAAGAACCAGAATTTTAAATTGAGCTCTATATTTTATAGGAAGCCAATTTAGAGACTGACAGAAGGGTGACATCTTTGCCATTTATAATATGTCACCATAGGC